TAACTTATAAAAGAGGACTTAATGTATGCCTTGATAAAGTGTGCCTGCAAAGCTGTTATTCGATTAGCTAAGTTTAAAATACTAAAATATCATATTGATAGATCTATGTCTTTTCACCAGTAAAGATTTCTGAAACACGCACAGCTGCCACGTTTTCAAAACGTAGACGCATTTCATGGCACCAATCCACACGAGTCTGTTTTTCTCTTTCGGAAAGCAAACGAGGGATCCATGAACCACAAAGCTTCCTCACTCCAAGATGTTGATGTACGATAGTATGAATGCTCCCCGAACTAATGTCTAATATCTTTTCGATGTCCGTAAATGTAATTTTTGGGTCTTCTTGCACCAACATTTCAGTAGTCCATACATTTTCTGCCGTTACTGCTGTATGCAGGACCCCAGTTCTTTGGTCATCTTTAAGGTTCATTTTATCCCTTTTTCATTCAGCAAACCACCTAAAATTTGTTGCACGTGATGGAGCACAATCCTCTAATGCTGATTGTAACCATTATAAACTACAATTGTTCGATTGAACCAAATTCAAAATCATAATAGATCATAGCGCGCAAATTCTCACGGTTAAGATCCATAGTATTAAATGAAAAGCGCGGGAAGCGTTGCAGGAAAATTAATAGAACTTTGTTTTTTTTTTCAATATTAAACAATTAGCTTATGGAGTTCTATTCTTAAATAAATTTTCTTTTTAGAAAATAACACGGGTGCGTACCATTTTTATATTTCGAGCATCTCAAAACTTATTGAGTGACCTACGTACCAACATTATTTCATATAATTCTCACTCCGATAAAACGAAATTATTGTTTATATTTTACAGTAAGTTATTCTTTTCAGACAAAATTTTTGTACTCGTTAGATTAAAAGTTATTCACTTAATTCGTCATGATATTGATGTAGCTACATAAACAATTTGATTAAGCCATTTACATAAACATATTTATGAGAGAAAAATGCATAAAATTTTAAATTTTATTAATAAATAAAATTCAAATTAAATTATAATTTATTAAGTAATCATCAACCTACGATTGGATCCATATAATATCAACTTTTTTCTCTCTGTCACCAGTCTCTGAGTACTTTTGGATTGTTTTTCTGCCTAATTTGGTCATGAAAGTCTCGTCCATCAGACATCTGAACGTAGCATGTGTAACTTACGTTGACAATTGGAAAAAGTTTGTAATTTAAATTTACTATGCTAGTAAATAATATTAATAACAAAATAAGGATAAATAAAATTATATTAATCTTATGTGCCCGGAAGTGAGAAATCAGTTAAGAAACTTGAATGAAACACCTACATGCATTAGGATCCAAAGCCTCTGAATCGGACTGTCAATCCTATCTTGAAATACTCACAGGACACCATGTGAGCTCTACCGTAGTCTGCATAACATTGACAGCGAACATGTTTGAAGCACTACAGTATCTAGGAAGGTGAATAAGCATCGTAAAGCATATACTAAATTCTAAGCGCATTGTAGGCCTTCTGTGTATATTCACACAACAGGCTGCAGGCGTAAGAAGTTTTTTATTAATCAGATTAATCGTTCACCCCTCCGTTGTTCCTTTGCATGTTTCATTTGTGTTTATCTACTTAATCAAAATCTAATGATTTTTTATATTTACGCGAACACTACACATTGATTGAAACTACCATTACGGATTTTATCGCGTTTAATTTTATTTTTAATTCCCGACGTTTCGGGTGTTTTCCAGCACCCATGATCACGGAGGAGTGAGGTGACTGACATCCCGATGTCATTGTTAAGACGGAGTACCTTCAGCTTTTTTAATTATTGTTTATGGTCCGATCTATGCAAAATGAACTGATTATGTCCTGAGGTCTTGCAGTGGTATGCTTGGGTTAAGTTTTAATTTTATTGATTATAGGGTTCCAAATAAAATATGGTTTGATCTTTCTAAATGATGTTTCACAAAGGTTTACTTAGTTATTTTAAGTGTCTTTGGAAGAATGAATATTCAATAGAGTAATTGAAAGCTATTGGTAGTGCCTTATAAGATAAGTGAACCCCACTATTGTAATGCAAATTCATCACAGAGACCTTCTATAGTATTGATTTTGTATCATTGAGTTTATTATCATAAGTCCCTAATATATAGGACTAGTCATTGTGCTACAGTACTTCAAGCAGTCGGGCTCCCGACCATATATATGCACAACTGCAGGTATAGCCCCTATCTATACATGAACACCTTCCATAACTTAGACAATTTTTAACAAATTTTCTAATTATCCTATCCTATAAATGTTATTTACCTTTATTTTTATAATATTTTCGACTTGTATTTCTAGTATTTATCATATTTTTAAATATGTTTACAAGTTTTTTAATAAATCATTTAATCTGTAAGACCTTTTTTTGCCTTTAATATACTGTATTATTTGTCTAATGTCTGAAATGTATTTATCTTAACTTTATGCTCATTAATGTAATTTTATTATTATTATTACTATATATATATATATATATATATATATATATATATATATATATATATAAGACTATGTTTGATGCCCATTTATATTGAATTTAATTATTAATAATAGTATTGTGTCGTCACAGTAGGAATCGGTGTTCTTTCGCGAGGATTTGTGTTTCTAGGATATGATCACAAACTGCAGACTTTCCGAAACGTTGATGCTTCACATCAGCTGTAATATGTTCTTTTAAGCGGGTTCTAATTGACCTTTTTGGTTGTCCTATATAAGGGAGACCACATTCACAATCAAGCTTGTACACTCCTGCAACTTGTAGAGGAATATGACACTTTACGGATGGTAGGAACTGACTAATCTTTTTCGGCGGCTTGTAGAATATTCTAATAGAAACTCGCTTCAAGATGTAGCCAATCTTATCTGTGACACCTCTGACATATGGTAGACCGATATTTAAACGGTGAATCTCATCACCATCCTTCACAGTTAGCTACCGTGGGCAAATATTTGTTACAGAGAGCACGAGGGATCTGTGACAGCAAACACCTGGCCACCGAGCTTCAGCACGTCAGGCAAGTTCTGCACGACAACAAGCTTCGGGTCCCGCGCCTACGTCACAGTGACCGAGTGAAGCCGGCCACAGTCGAGCGTGTGCCTGCTGAACTACCTTATATCAGAGGTGTCACGGAAAAGATTGGCTACATCTTGAAGCGAGCTTCTATTAGAACATTCTACAAGCCGCCGAAGAAGATTAGTCAGTTCCTAACATCCGTAATATGTCATATTGCTCTAAAGGTTCAGGAAAGTACAAGCTTGATTGTGAATATGGTCTCTTCTCTATAGGACAAACAAAAAGATCAATTAGAACCCGCTTAAAAGAACATATAGCTGATGTGAAGCATCAACCTTCCGGGAAGTCGGCAGTTTGTCATTATATCCTAGACGGCCCCAACCATTACATCAGATTTTATAGACCACAAATCTTCGCAAAAGAACACCGATTCCTACCAAGGATGATACGTGAGGCTATTGAAATTAAAAAGCATCCTAATTTCAATAGAGAAGGAGGCTGGGTACTTCCGCCTGCTTGGAACCCTATAATCAATAAAATTAAAACTAAACCCAAGCATACCAGTATGCAGCAAGACCTCAGGATATAGTCAGTTTATTTTGCATAGATCGGACCATAAACAATAATTAAAAAAGCTGAAGGTACTCCGTTTTAACAATGACATCGGGACGTCAGTCACCTCAGTCCCCCGTGATCATGGGTGCTGGAAAACATCCGAAACGTCGGGAATTAGAAATAAAAATAATTAAAAGTAAAATTAAACGTGATAGAGTCCGTAAAGGTAGTTTTAATCAAAATCTACTTAACTAATTTTACAGCCCATAGACATCACACAGCCGGGTACAGGCTTTCTTCTATATCGGAGAGGGTTACCCACGATGTTTGCCCTCATCGCCGAGCACGTGTTAAATCAGCAATTAAAATTGCAATTACATAGGTACTGGCACGACTGGTTCGTAGTTCGAAAAATTTGTTTTGACCTCAACCATACACTTGATAGGGTATTATAGTGACATTACATATCATGTGGATTATTAATATCGTTTTTTATGGGGTTAAACTGTAAAGAATGTGCAAAAATTTATGAAATTACGCATAATTATTATTTTAAAATTATTAAAGTAAAAATAATATTATAATAATTAAGTTAAAACTGTTGTAAATTTAAAAATGTCCCAAAGTAATAAACCGAGTTTATTAATAATGTTACGCGCTCAAGTCGACGGCACTAGCGCCATCTAGTCTCGAACCGAAGAACTAAACTTCTTGAAGTTTAAAACTCGAACTCTCGGTACCTTGCGCGTGTTTACTTGAACATTCTGGATATTTCTTTGCTAATGCAAGATGCGATCGAGGCAGTATTGGATTTGGTGAGACAAGCGAAGCTTCGGAGCGGAATAAAGTGAATTAGTGTGTTTAATTATTAGTGTTTTAAGTTTTACTTACTTACTTACTTACTTATCTTCACGCACAATCCCTAACGGGGTAGCCAGAGAGAACAGATCGCCAAGTGTCACGATCCTTACATACCTCTTTCGCTTCCTTCAGGTTCATTAACTTCTTCATACATGCACGTCTAGGTATCCGAGTACTCTTGACCCTCCCCTCTTCGAGCAATTTGCTCACATGGTCTTCGAAAGTTAATCTCGGTCTACCTCGACACCTTTTAATATTTACTTTCGCTCTATATATTTTCTTCACCATTCGGTCTTCACTCATTCGTTCAACGTGCCCAAACCATTGGAGTACGCCCCTATCATTTTTTTGATAAGGTCATCTTTCAATCCTGCCATATTGCGAATCTCTTCGTTTCGCTTTCGGCCGGCTAAGGTAACGCCACACATTTTACGAAGAGATCGCATCTCCGCTGCTTTCAACTTGCTTTTATGCTTCTTCTGGCATACCCAGGTTTCGCTGCCATATAACAAAGTCGGTACCAACACTGCATTATGTATTGCAAGGCGTGCACTCTTCACCACGCCTTGCCTTTTTTACTAATGCATTCAGGGCACCATTGACTTTGTTTCCGGCAGCGACACGCCTATCCACATCTAAATCATATCTTCCATCCCGGCTGAAAGCACTCCCCAAGTATACAATTTCATTTACCTGTTCTAGACATTCCTGATTTACCCATATTTCACATTTCGTTCTCTCTTCGTCCTTTTCAAATACCAGAACCTTAGTTTTATTAGCATTCAAACGGAGACCTTTAATTTCACATTCCTCTTTCATACACGTGACTAATGCCTGCAGTTCTGCTTCTGATGGTGCAATAAGCACTGCATCATCAGCATACAGCAGACAATTAAATTTTATGTCACCCAATTTCACACCCAAACAGCTATTTTTCAGCTTCTGTAAACAGCTGTCGAGATACAGTATGAACAGCCAGGAAGACATGACACAACCCTGTTTTACGCCCGCTTGGACACTAAACATGGGTGACAGGTCATGCCCTACCCGCACACAGGCTTTACAGTCATAGTAAAGTGACTGCACAGCCCTTAACAATCGACCATCCATACAATATCCCGGCAACAGTTCCCACATTTTCTTCCTTATAACCTTATCAAATGCTTTCTCCAGATCCACAAAAGCACAGAAAATCTTCTGGTTAACACTCAGAAGCTTCTCCGTGATCATGCGGAGAGAAAACATTTGATCCGTGCATCCTCTTCCAGGTCTAAATCCGCATTGTGCCTCCCATAAGAATCTTTCCGATTTCTCTTGCATCCTACGTGTCAAAACCTTCGAGTAAACTTTACTTGCTAAACTGGTCAAGCTGATCGCCCGATAGCACCCGCAGTCAAAATGTGAACCTTTACCTTTATATAAAGGCACAATGATCGCGGATCGCCAATCATCCGGGACATCTCCCGTCCGCCAGCACAAATTGCACAGCAGATGGAAGCTGTCCCAGACGCGAGGCCCACCGTACTTGACCATTTCAGCAGTAACTCTGTCTAGTCCCGCAGCCTTACCACATTTCAAACTTCGAATCGCACGTTCAATCTCTTTCATGCTGATGACCTCAGTGTCATCGAGGTCCGTGTCTGGCGTGCCAGTCACGGCGTCACCCCCGGATCCTTCACTAAGATCATGACACGCATACATTTCTCTATAAAATTCACTCCATCGCTGCATGACGTCCGATTTTTCTGAGAGGACGTCATTGGTTCTCGAAAGCACTTTGTTCATTCTTAAGGCTGTCGCACCACTCCGGGACCTTCCAACCTCTTTCCAGAAGATTTTGGAGTTTTCCCTAAAGTTGTGCGACAACCTCTCGTCCGCTTCTATTCTACACCTTTCACGTACTTCCTCAATCAATGTTTTCGCATGAACTTTCTGCAGCTTATATCTTTCTTTCATCTTCTCTCTCATATGCTCATCGTTACTAGAGGCCAAGTAGTCTAACCATGCTTTTTTTCTTCTTTTTTACAGCTTCTCTCACTTCATCATTCCACCATGCATCTCTTCTTTTACTACTACCTCTTTTTGTCGTACCACATACTTCTTCCGCTGCACTTACCATTCCATCCCTAAGGTTCTGCCATATTCTCTCCACACATTCTTTCCTGCCATCGATGGTGTCAAACTTTTCGGCTACCCTCGTGCGATATTTGTCCCTGGTATCCGCTTCCTGAAGCTTCCAGCTTCGGATGCGACAGTGTTTTAAGTTTTATTTTGTGTAAAGTAAATTAAAGTGTTAATTTAGGTAATTTTATCGGCAATTTTTATTGTCACGAACCTCAAGCTCGTAACAATTGGTGTCAAAAGTGGGATAAAATCATGCCGATTTTACCTAAGGAGGAAACGGAGGGTGTCCGTACCCGAAGTCAACACCAGCAGGAGACGGACCAACGAAGATTTGGTGGTGCAACACCGCAGACTCGGAGAGCCAGCCACCGGCTGCAGGCCCGTCGGTAGCTCCTACATCGGCAGCACCTGACTTAGGTGCTCTGATGGTGATGCTGCAGGAGCAGGCTCGCCGACAGGAGGAGCAGGCCGGTCAGTTGAAAGAGCAGCTGCAGAGCGGACAAGAGGAACAGGCCCGCCGACAGGAGGAACAGATGCTCCTCATGAAGGACCTTCACGCTACCTTTGCGAAAGAGATAAGGGAGTTGAAGGATAGGGTTGCTCAACGTGACAACCGCCTGTTGGAAGCTGAAACCCGAATCGAAGAACATGAAACCCGAATCAACCATGTGAACAATCGGGTTGACAACGTGATGGCTGACGTGAAGAAAACGCTGAACGACCTCAAACTTGAGGATGGAACTACAGCTCCCGTTGTAGCTACAGCACCTTCGCTACGTAGATTCAAAGTGCCGCCGTTCGACGGGACTTCTTCCTGGTCGGCCTATAAAATCCAGTTCGAGGCCGTCATGGAGGCAAACGGCTGGCATAAAAGCCAGGCCATGACTGCACTCACCTTAGGCCTGCGCGACCAAGCCTTAATCGTGTTGGAAGCTCTCGGTAAGAAAGTGACCTACGAGCAGCTCCTTGAGGCATTGGAGGCAAGGTATGGTGACGCTCACCTGGAACACGTCTTTCGTGCGCAGCTTAAGGATCGTGTGCAATGCAGCAACGAAAACCTGCAGCAGTGGGCCCTTGAGGTGGAGAAGATGGTTCGAAAAGCATACCAGTCTGTACCAGCGCTCATTGAAGGGAACCTGGTGCAGACATTCATCGACGGCATCCGCGACCTGGAAGTCAGAGCTGCTGTGAGGCTCGGGCACCACGAGACGCTTAAGGACGCCTTGGCCCATGCACTGGAGGTAGAAGCCGTGCGGCAGGATCATCGTTCCCATCGCGTCAGGGAGGTTGCAGCAGCTACAGTTCGCTACCGCAACAAAGGATACAGCCCTAGGTGCTATGGCTGTGGGGAAAAGGGCCATCTTCGATCCAGCTGCCCTAAGCGAACCCTAGAAAGGGAAGGCGAACGATCTCAAGAGGGTAGTGCGGCCAACAGCACCGCCCAGCAGCAGCAGGGAAACGAGTAAAAGCCAGAACTGCGGGGCGGTTGCTGGCTGATGTTAAAAGAGCCCCAAGCATCTCGATCTCACAAACCCATGATGGGAACAGTCTAATCATCAAGGGCGAGGTCAACGGAATGCCGTGTAAACTGACCATAGACACTGAAGCTTCTCGTACGGTTTTTAGTTTCCAACTTATAAGTCAGTTCCTTGGGGATCGATACAACCGAGAACGCATTAATTTGTAACAGCCACCGGTCAGCGTATACCCGTCCGTGGAGAGAAGGAGATGGAGTTGAAGCTTGGCAACGTGATCTACCTGTATAATGTCATCGTGGCTGATATAATGGACGACTGCATCCTAGGCCTAGACTTTATGAGGAATAATTGTTGTGAGATCGACGTTAAGCAAGGTGTTTTGAAATGTGGACAGAAGGAATTTTTTATGGAAGGTGCGTTACCAGGGAACGTGTACAGCATTAAGGAAGATTGTTCTTCCGCTGACATCGGAAATGATTGTTCCGGTTAGTCTTCCCCAAAACCATGGGCAAGCTTACCGTTGTGTACTTGTGGAAAGGGTAAACAATGACCTTATATGGAAAGTAGCTCGAACCTTGGTCAGAACCTCTGACATCTCAGGAATACGTGTGCTGAACCTTTGTGACCGGGAACAGATTAAAGAAAAAGGCACACTGGTTGGCACTTGTGAGGAAGTGGATTGGTTACGTCGGTGCCAATATATATCGAGTGGGACCCCCCAGCAAGGATTCAGAAACGAGAGTGACCACACTTTTGGAAGACTGTCGCAGTGTTCTCTCCCCGAACGAATTGGTCAAGGCTAAGAAGTTGTTACTCAAGTACGCCGATGTATTCTCGTCAAACGATGCTGACATAGGAAAGACTGGCTTAGTTCAACACAAAATAAACACAGGAGAGGAATTGCCTATCCGTCAGCGGCCAAGAAGATTGCCGGTAGCACGTGAAAAGGAAGTGGAAACCATGATTGAGGGAATGGTGAAGGATGGTGTTATTGAACCTTCATCTAGTCCATGGTGTTCACCCGTGGTGCTGGTAAAGAAATAGGATGGCAGCATGCGGTTCTGTGTTGATTACCGCCGTCTGAACGACTTTATAAAGAAGGACAGCTATCCCTTGCCAAGAATTGATGACACGTTGGACATGCTTACAGGAGGAAAATGGTTTAGCACGCTGGATCTAAAAAGTGGCTACTGGCAAGTTGAAATTGACCCTAAGGACAAGGAGAAAACTGTGTTCTCGACGGGAAAGGGTCTGCGCCAATTCAAAGTAATGCCGTTTGGGTTGTGCAATGCTCCAGCAACGTTTGAAAGGCTGATGGAACTTGTACTTACCGGGCTAATTGGCGATGCCTGTCTGGTCTACTTGGATGACATCATCATCGTGGGCCGTACGTTTGAGGAACACCTTGAAAACCTCGGACGCGTGCTCATGAAGATTCAGAGTGCCAATCTCAAGCTGAGTCCGAAGAAATGTTCACTATTCAAACGGCAAGTCAACTTTTTTGGGGTATGTAGTGTCGTAAGAAGGTATCCGCATGGAACCAGAGAAAATCGCAGTTGTAAAGGATTGGCCGGTTCCAAAAGACAAGACGCAGGTTAGAGCATTTTTGGGTTTGTGCTCCTATTACCGGCGATTTGTGAAGAACTTTGCAGATATAGCCAAACATAAGCATAAGCTAACCGAGGAGAAGCGACATTTCTGCTGGGATGAAAGTTGTAATATCGCATTCCAGGAGCTCAAGGACCGTCCGTGCAAAACACCTATTTTGGGATACCCTGATGCAAGCAAAGAATTTATAGTTGACACAGACGCAAGTGATATAGGACTTGGCGGTGTGTTGTCTCAACGGAATGGTGACCAAGAGGTCGTGATAGCGTACTTCAGCAAGTCGTTGTCAAAACCGGAAAGAAACTATTGTGTCACAAGACGCGAATTGCTAGCTGTGGTAAAGTCGTTGCAGTATTTTAGCAAATATCTTCTGGGGCGTAAATTTCACTTACGAACTGACCATGCTGCACTAAAATGGCTATTGCAGTTTAAAAATCCAGAAGGACAAGTTGTGAGGTGGATTGAACTACTGCAGGAATACAACTTTGAGATCGAACATCGCAGCGGGAAATCTCATGGCAACGCAGATGCATTGTCAAGAAGACCTTGTCCTGAAGATTGCAAACATTGTACTAGGCTAGAAAGTAAGGAAGTGGTATCCGTGAGGATGCTCAGGGCAGACCACCTCAGCAACGAGTGGAAGGACAGTTTACTATATGCACAGCAGGAAGATCCGGACATCAAGCCGATTCTGGAATGGATAAAGGCCAGTGCTCCCAAGCCCAAGTGGAGTGACGTCTCAGCGATGAGTTCGACCACTAAAAGCTATTGGGCCCAGTGGGACAGCTTGCTGTTTCAGGATGGAGTTCTGTGTCGTAAATGGGAAAATGTTCGGGGAGACAGCTGTCATTTGCAAATGGTTGTTCCTAAAGCTAAAGTACCGGATGTTCTACAGCTGTACCATAGTGATTGTTCAGGAGGCAATCTGGGAGTTAAACGAACTCTACTGAAGATCCGAGAACGGTTTTACTGGGTCCACTGTCGAAACGATGTTGGGGACTGGTGTCGCAAATGTACAAGTTGTGCGGCTACAAAGGGATCTCAGACTCGTAGTAGAGGTGCATTGAAGTTGTACAATGTTGGTGCACCATGGGAGAGAATAGCCATTGACGTGGCGGGGCCGTTTCCGGAGAGTGAAAGCGGTAACAAGTATTTCATGGTTGTGATGGATTACTTCACTAAGTGGCCAGAAGTCTTCGCCATTCCAAATCAAGAAGCTTCAACAGTTGCAGATAAACTAGTTCATGAAATCTTCTGTCGTTTTGGAGTACCTTTAGAGATTCACAGCGATCAAGGAAGGAATTTTGAGTCTCAAATATTCCA